GGCTGGAGGGGGTGCTGCAGGTGGAGAGGACTGGGGCAGTCATTCGTGAGACTGCGGCATGGGAGGGGTTGAAGAGGGCCCCACTGCTGGAGCTGTGACGGTTCAGACAAGGTCGATCAGCTTTATGAAACTGGACTGATGAAACCCTGGAAATACAAACAGTAAGGTCAACAACCTAATAGCCCCAAAATGTGATGTTCAGAAGTCAAGGGGTGGTTTTATAAAGACCGACTTCAGTATAACAAATAGATTAACTTCAGATAGATATTTAAAACTGAACTGCTCAGGTCTTTTAACTCTAGAAAACCTGTGACTGTTTTTTAATGGGTTTAAAACTACATCAAAAACATAGATATAATTTTGTTTAAACTGGTTTTGAACAGTTTTCAACGATTTATAAACTGGTTCAAAAAGGGTTTAAATCATAGGCAAACTGCACCCAACCCTGTTCCCGCTTTTTTATCTGGTATAATTAAATTAGCTAAAAAAGAGACATGTTTTAAATGAGTCTAAATAGATTTTAAATTGGTTTAAACTGGTTTAAACAAGGGGTTAAACTTGCACTCGAGACCAACTGGTTTAAACTGGTATTTAAAGGGCTGGTAAACTGGTTTCAATTGACTAAACAAGGAATAAACTGGTTTAGGCTGGTATAAATCGGGAACATACTAAAAAAAAAATTAGAATGGTTTAAATTGAGACATTAAAGAGAGACATTATTTAACTAGTTTAGACTGGTTTTAAAAAGCTCTAAACTGGTTTGAAACAGGGAATATTGCCATAAGTTTTCATTATGGTATAATCACCTGAAGATTTTTCAAAAAAAAAAAAGCCTGATAGAATTTGTGTAAAGGGGCAGTTATTCTATCAGCTGGTACCTGAAAAGTCCTTGGGGTGGGAGGTCCATGACAGGCCCACCACCCTCCTCCATTGCAAGCTGCAGGCGTTGACACTGAGGCTGCACGGTCAGCGCCTCGGGAATGGCCTCCAGCAGCTCGCGGTGGCTCTTGGGACAACTGTCACGCCGCTCCCGCCTCTCACAGGGTTCACCTTGATGTTGCAGCCTGGCGTTGTAAAGCCTCATTCGTTTCTCCAGCAGCCTCTGGAAGTGCCTGAACTCCCCGGTGCTCACACTGTAGAAGCCAGAGTCACTGAGCTCCGAGGATATAAAGGACTCAGAGGAAGGAGAGCCACCGCCTCCAAAGCCCCCACAACCTCCCGGGGCGAGGGCCCCATGTGAATGACAGTCCTCCAGGCCTCCCTCTTCGGTCTCCAGCCCCGAAAGGTCTCCCTGGTGGAGGGAGCCATCAGTCCAGCCCAGACCACTGTCCAGCTCATGGTGGAGCGGCAGGAAGCCCAGCGGCTTCTCCAGCATAAAGTCCTCGTCATCCGTCTGCAACAACAGGCATCCTCAGTCCCAAGGTCATTTACACAAATAAACACACCAAAAGACTATAAATAACTACATATATGTTGTTTTATTTGTGCGTGGGACACTAATACCTTCTGAGTAATGACTAAATGTCTCTGTATCAGTGGGAAACTGATGGAATACTGAAGCTTAGTAGTGAATTCTTGGACAGATTCTAGTTACTTATTCTTTGATCAGATATTTCCTGATTTAAATATTAATTTTGTTTATTTTAGTTGTAATTTATGTAGACAAAGTACTTATATGACTGTTTGGATAACATAAACTGACGTATTTGAGAAGTTTTGGCTTCCAATATTCTGTATTGTTCTTTTTAACAAATTTCCTGATAAGAACAGATGTGTCCTGATGTGTTCATCCATCTCTCAATACTTTTTGACTTCCCTACTCGGTCTGTGGCACTGAGCATTGAGCAAATTAATCCACATTTGGTGCTCCAGTATTTCTGGCAGCGGTATTGTGTATGTGGGACTGAGTCAAAATAACAATAATACAGTGTCTGTGTGGCTTGTTGATGTGTTTTTAATAGTGCTTTACAACAATGGAGCTCTGTGACACTCAGCTTCTGTAATTTCTACTGTTATTTTTATTCTTCTAAAAAACAAATCATACATAGCAAGTTTTGGATACCTGACTGTGACAGCCGTTAGGTTCTTCTAAGTTTGCATTGCAACATCCCATCAGACAGTTCTGTCCCTTTGGTCCATGACCAGTCAGTTCTGGATCCTGGAGGATTCACGATGTGAAACAAAGAAAATGAGACACAACACAAAGCTTCTGTGTGTTTATGGGTTGTTCATTTATTACTGATTGCACTAATTATTCAAATGTGGACTAAACCAGTATCAATATATATGTGCATATATGTGCATGTGTGCAAGCTCTACAGGGCTGTACATAAATGAAATATGTGCATTTAGACATATATAACTCCTATTTTTTATTTTTTTTTACAATGTAAAAAGGGCACTACAGTCTCCCAGTTTGTGTCTTCATGTTATTGTTCCTACAAAACTTTTTTTTAGTGTTACCTGGTGGCCGATGTCCACAGTGTCCCGTGGAGAGCTGGACAGGTAGCTGTATCGTCCTCCTTCACAGTGATCTTGTGGCAGAGACAGATGGCTGTAATAATGTCTAAAACAGATGATAAGAAAACTAAATTAAGACATTTTCAAGACTCATTTTCAAAATGTTTTTTTAATCCTGTTACTCAGCAGAACTATAGACTGTTGCAGATATCGGCTATGATATAAATCTATTTAATTTACACATGAAAGTTGAGCTTAAATATTTTTAATTATGTCAAACATTCACTTGAGTTTGTAATTAATAAATACAGTTCAATTACTGATTACTGAGCTGCATGCATGTCTGTGTATAATCCATTCAGTTATTTTTTTTAAATATATATTTTAATTTTAAGTGGCCATCAAAAATGGAAAATGTTTTCAATTTAAAATCAAGAAAACATAAAAACCTAACTTCCAATAAACAAAAACCTCCATCAGAATATAAGTCTTTAACCTTTCAGGTAGCTTATCCAGATCCTTCTCTAGAGTGGCTAAATAAACACATAATGGTGATGATGGAAATACAAAGCTTTTTGAAAAAGCTCCTGTCATGGTTCAACGCAGCAGAAAGCGCTGTCTCATCCAACTCAGTGTGAGCAGTGTTTGAGGGAAGTATTTTTGTCCTATTGATCGTGATAACTAACTTAACTTCTGTTTCTTTAATGGTGCATAGGGCCATGGGATTTCTCAGAGCTGATTCCTGGTTCAGCTTTGTCAGCCATGTAGTTTTTGTAGTTGTGTATGTAAAGGACATTTCGGGTTTACTAATTCCTGAGAAGAACCCAGAAAACCACACACACCTGTACTGACTTTTTAAACGATTTCTGGGTCCTTCTCAGTTTACAGTTGCACCTGTAAGTAAGACTTGCAAGAATTACAGTGTGTTGACATTTTAGCTGTTCTATACAGTAATCCGGCTATTAGACTATACAGATCCTCATTTTCTTTCTATGTCTGTGTACCTGTCCTGATAGGAGGGGCTGGAGGCCTTAAGCCCCGCCCCCATACGTGGGAGGGGCAGGTTGAGGTGCTGCAGGTTGAGGGGAAGGGGCTCCCAGGCTCCCCTGTCTGCCTCGGTGCCACACCCCCTCTGACCCTTGATCTGCATTGTGATTGGTCGCTGACTGGCCGCCAGGATTCGCAGAGCATCCCGCTGGCTCAGGTGTGCTAGACTCCGCCCACTCACCTGAGACAAGCAGGCAGAGGTAGAGAAGGGATGTGATGTTAGCAAACACGTGCCTATCCCCACCCACGTCCAGCACA